CATGATGAAAAGATGAACACCATTTATCTTCAAGCACTCGAGTGAATCATAATAATTCAATTTTAGAGCCAAAAGTAGCTCAATGCAGAGCCGGATCTATCCTGTGAGAGAGAGGGCTGTTGGCCACCCCAAAAACTTGGAAAACCTTTCAGCTATTTGCCTTCACACCTTTAACAGAAAGCTGATGAAATGAACTCGACAATACAAACAGTATAGAATTGCTTTCTTGACCGACTTGAGCGTGTTTCGAAAAGTGGACACATTTTCAAGTGGCCCTTTCATCCTTCCAGTTTTTTTTTTTTTTTTTATGTATGCGGCCTTCAAATGAAAACTCCTGGACACCCCCGGTCTATCGATTTTGCACGTCAGAAAGACAAAGCAAGTGCACCTTCTGCAGTCTATTGACTTCACAATGCGTGTCTCCCCCCCATGAATTAATTGGACATATTTATGAGTCGGCGTTGATGAAACGACTCACGTTCCTCTCTGCGCCGCTCCTCAACTCCCCCGCACATAAAATGACACTGATCTTATCAGCGCTACCTATGTCGTCAACTGTCGGACCATCTGTCTTTGCATCCATCACACCCGTGGGAGGAGTGACGCTCTTTCAATATATTGATGCGGCGCCGTTGGCACGCCAAGGTTGTTTTGAAAACCTCATCGAAATTCCAAATGGCACCTGCGCCTCTTGTAGGAGTCGCCGAAGAACCCCGAGTTTGCCGCGGTACAAGTTATGAGGGCCCAGATGCATTCGGAAGTTTTTCTGTGAGCATCGTTACGAGGAGTAAACAAGCGCTCTTCCAACTGTCAGGAGGAAATCAATTTAAATTTTACCCTTTGACAGCCCAAATCTCACAGATTGGGGCAGAGGAGACATCAGCTGTTGACATTTCACCGAGCACACGCACTCAAAGACTGGCATTTTACTTTCTCATCTTCCGCAGAGAACCAAGTGGCCCTGGATCATCATTTTGTTTTTAATTAAGGGATTCAGCTGAAAGCCAAGATCCTCATCATAAAACAATGTGAAATATCTTCTTTAACTCAAAGTAAGTTGCCCAAATCGCCGTAATTTGAACGGCACGCTGGCTTGAAATGTTGACGCCGAACCAACGAGTGGTGCATACGATTCCTGGAGCGAGCCTTGTTTGCCACTCACTCATTACGACTCAAAGTGGTGTGAATGGCATGCCCGCATTCTGCTTGGCGTCTCTGAACAAGTGGCGATCGACCGGGATTTTCACACGCAAACACAGCAACGGCGAATAGGTTGTGAAAAGAATACAAATATGTGAAATGCGAAGTATGCCTTTTTCATGCTACAGTACTTCAAAAGTAGAACGGTTTGCCAACGATAACGTTAAATAACTACTTGCTAGGCAGCCAGCAGACACACACTTTGGGCGAAAGGCAGGTTACACCCCGGACGGGTCATCAGTCAGTCAGAGGGCACGTCGAAGGACGGGCAGACTGGACGTGCGCCGCGTATCGGTTGCAAATGTCTTTCCTGAACTTCAGACGCTTACTTGGATTGTACTGGTGAATATTTGAAGTGAGAGCCGTCTCAGTTCGAATGCTTCACCGTGCATCCGGAGTAAATTTGATGTGAAACCATATTGAAGAGCTCTTAAATCTTGTTGTGTTTTTGCCGTTTGTGTCTCCGCCGTGTGTGTTTGTTGCAAGCAAAACGGTCTTGAATTGCGCAAACGCTGAGGCATGTGCGTCACTTGACAATACAGCCCGTGTTTTTTCTCAAAAGGGAAATTAGGATTCCCCCCCACCCCCCCCCAAGTGCACCAAAAAGAACTGGGTCATATTTGTTTTTACATTTTTAGATGAGAGCGATCTGCTTGCCCCCATTGTTTTTTTCTTTCAGTGCATTGATGCTGTCCTGCTTCCTGTTCCCTTTAGAAATTGCCCAAGAGAAAAACGCGATGTCTTGTTTTGCTGGTGGATGACAATAAAATCAAAGGTACTGAACATGCAATAAAGCAAAAAAAAAAAACACCCCCCCCAAAAAAAAAGCAATGGATGATATTGATTCTACTTCCCTTCCACTTTGCTACATAATCATACACGCGATCAATATTGAAAGAAGTGAGCTTCTTATTCCTCGACACAATGCGACGAGTGTCTTCCAATTCATCCTGTGGGGAACGCAGCCGCGCAGTCGATGCTGCCATCAATTATTCAGGCATTGTAAACACGGGAAAATATGTCTGAATAAATGACTCGGTTCTTCGATTCCAACTTTGCCCGCCAAACGCAGCCGCCTCGCTACAAAGCAAGACGACACCGCGAAGGTCCCATCCTTGTAATTTCCCTCCGGATTGCGAGATGCCGCCCAAGATCTCATCAACGCCGGAGCTTTGTAACCAAACAACGAGAGGCTGAAATGTGATTTGAGGCCCAACGCGCTTGCTTACATTCTGACAATTATCCAGCCGCCGAGTCCACAACAGCGCTTTCCCGTAATTAAGAATCTCATCAGGCAGCGAGCTGATGCGGAATCAGACAGTAATACAAATTCCCCCTTTTGCCAAATTCTTCCATCCATCTTACTTGTTAACGCGGTTCGGGGACATGATGTCGGACAAACATTATCGGCTTTGGAAACGCTCAGGGAAAACGTGACCTGTTGTTGAAAATACAAAAAAATCGCTAATAACGAGAATGCGGTGATAGTTCTGGGACACGGGCGTCGAATCATCTTTTCTCGGGGATAATAGACGGAAAAGCGTCCTTTTTTTGTCACCAAGAACCTGTTCAAACGGGGCTTTTAGCTTTTAAAAGCTTATTTGATATGGATGAAGATCAAATTAAAGTTTGATTTTTTTTTTTTTTCCGAGTCATTTGAAAAGCACACGGAAAGGAAGTCGGGGCTGAAACGTCAGAAATATTTGGCTGTCCAAACACGTTTGCAACACGGACTATTTAATAATGAGACCCAAAGGAAGCTTCTGAAAATATCCCCCCGGTTTCCCCTCCCCATTTCACCGAAAACAATCCACGCTAGCCTACTTTTGCGTCTGCCGCTACTCGAGCTCCTCCGGGGCATACGAAATCCCTTGAGAATTTCCAAAACTGCTCACACAACAAACCCGCTCGGTTCCTGGAATCATGCTTTGAATGAGGGAGAGGTTTTAGGGTGTCGCACGAAGCCCCACAAAACAGGCCGTGTTTTTTTTTTTTTTTTTTTTTCATCTTGCTAAGTTCGTAGCTGATGCAGCTGATACCTGGTTTGTATGCAACCCAACGTAATCCTCTCCTTCTTGTAAATGTCACATGGAATCAGCGACGCTGACCTGGGGAGGCGGGAGGTCTCGATCTGACGCTTTTTTTTTTTTTTCTAAGACTCGTTGGGTAATTGAGTGGAATGGGGATGACGCGCTTCGTTGGTGTGTGAGCAACACGCACGCACGCACACGCAGAAGCAGCAAACCAATGAGCATGACACTATGAAGGCTAGAAAAACTAACAAAAAAAAAAAAAAAAACGAGGGAGTAAATTGACAGCAGGATGCAATTAAAGCGTGAGTGACTCATCACTTCATCCTTATTTCAAGGAAACATCCGAATTTTTGCTGCTGTTTTTGGCACCTGGATGTCTCATGGGCCACGGTGATCAGAGTCGGCCCGGGTTTCTTCCAAGAAACTTTGGCGGTCCAAAACCCATCTTTGAAGGCGGTTCGATTTGACAAGCACTCGGCCCACCGCAGGACATCATTAGTCCAATTTTGGCACTAAAGCCGGGAGTCGGCCGCACTGGAGACAAGCCGCCGAGTTGTCAGCCGTTGCCAAGCCTCCTCTTGACTCAACATGCACGGCTACATCATGCTGCGGATGTCCGTACGATTTGAAAAAATATTCAACATACTGCTCTCCCTGTTCGGCAGGCGGTGTTCATTTTAATTGCCTTCATTCATTTCCGTTACGGCTTTTGTGCTCTCCGCTCTTGATGAAAGACTGTCAGCAAAATTCAAGTCACTGTACATGAATAATTCAATCCCATACTTGAGCTTTTACATGCTACAGATTTGTATGCCTCGGCATGTTGTTGTCGCTCAGATTCAGATCGAGCTCGCCGGGCTAACCTGTAAAATTGGTCGAATATCATTTGGGATTACAAGATTGTGATATTATCGCAAATAAAATGCTTTTGGTGTATTTGGTTTGCATTCGGGTTGCTTCCAGGTTTGCGGTTCGCCCCCTCCCCCCAACCACCCCAATTCAAATTTTGGATACAGTACCACGAGTAGAGGTCTTCAAATCAACGCAGGCAGAAATGATTTGGATTGACACTTTCAATAAACTGACGTCAAAAATTTAGTTATTAGCTCATGCGAGTGCAAAACTTTCCAAAGAGAATTGACTAACCCGAAAATCAGCCTCCTTGTGGGTATTAACACAAGTTGAAAAATCTCTTCCAACTAGGACAATCACATCCAATAATCCACATGTTTAAATGACTCCGATGGTTTTGCAGTCTTCATGAAATGATTGCGCTTAAAAATAATGAGTCAAGGACATCATCATCTCGCCATCAGACAGGAAGAAAAACTGGATCGGTTTTACAGTCGCGATATGGAAAAGTCTATCAAAGAAAAGCTCGTTAAATTGGTCTCAAAAGAGGCGCTCGGCAATTTTGTTATTGCACAGAGGAGCGGAAGCGCCGACTGAACGTTTGATGAGGCACGGCACTCCTCGGCCTGACTTGCGCCTGCATGAAACTCCAGACAGGAGCCGCAGGTCAAAAGGTTCAAGAACATTTGCGGCCACGATTGAAAACAAGGAAATTGTTTGTGCCGTCACTGCGTGTTTCGGTAAACAGCTGCGCAGTTCATGAAACAAGAAGGGAAGCCCAGCAAAAACATGACACGCTCTCTACATCTCCCATAAGAATTGCTCTAACAAGGTGAATTCTGTGCGGCTTCCAAATGTTCGACATCCTGCTCTTCCTTCCCTGTGTGGGGAAGCCCGAGTTGCGAGGGGACTCACTCTGAGTGAAGCGTGGAGGGTTGTCGTTGACGTCAGAGAGCGTCACGGTGACGGTGGTGGTACCGGATAAGCCTCCCAAATGGCCTCCCATGTCCTTGGCCTGGAGAACCACAAAGTACTGGTCCTGGGTTTCCCTGTCCATGTCGGGCACAGCCGTGCGCAGAATACCTGGAGAATAGTTCAAAAGTCAGTTTGGTTGAGCGGCTGACGCGTTTTGCGGATTCCGGTTTGGATTGGCGGTCGCAAGTTGTCGCCGCTCCGATTGGACAGAAGTTTTTCACACTGGTGCGCGCTGCCAAGCCGAGTAACAGAGTACACACGTACATCCAACTGCCACTAACTTCTTGTCTACGAGGGTCACGCGGTCATTGGTGTAGTTTAGTTTGCTGCCAAAAAACATTTCATTGCATTTATCTTCCCAAGAGTAGGCTTTGATATTTCCCCCTCCTCATGCAGTAAAAATATTCGGACCCGCACTCGGTATGATGCAGTGCAGTTCTGCACTACTGCAACCTACAAGCACAAACAGATTGCCGTCTTAAAAATCCCTCCACAGCGTCAACTTGGCGTGGTCCTCATGAAAGCAGAATATTCAATACGCATCCTCAAGCTCGTTGGGATTGCCCACCCAAAGTGACTCATCATTTATTCACCATTGCATGCAGCAGAGTCATATTTTCAGCGATGATTTCGTTGCGGTGCCTCGTTTTATCGCTCAATCGCCATTTTTAAACGATGAAAGTCACTCGTTATAGTTCACTGTTGAGCTGCTTTTAATAACGCAACAATCCAAGTCGAATTACACGGACACAATTTGATGAGAGTTTCGATGCATCACTTTTGAAGAGAGGCACCATGGCTTTTTAATGAAAATTTTACACGAAAAAGTACAAATTAGTAATTCGTGGACACAAACGATTATTTTCCCCCCAACTGTAATATCTTGAGCTCCGTACATATGACCTGTTGTTTCATTGAAATGCCCCCCCCCCACCCTCCATAACAATCGAATGTCTCTGCCTCATTCACCAGGAATCTCAAATTCATCGCTGTTCAGGAGCAAAGGCCAATATTTTTTTTAAATTGCCCTCATCTTCGAAATCAAACTTGGTCTTGCACCCCTGCATCGCTCAAAAACAATCCATAAGTCAACATGTGTCAACTATACTTACACAGCTGTTAGTAGTTGGGCGTTATCATATCTTAAAAAAAGATGATGGTACCCAATGAAACTATTGGAACACAGCACGGCCAGACCTGCTTTTAGATCCTCCAGTTCTTAAAAGGCAGAAAGCCAAGGAGTGATTTCCGCGATGTGGCTCATCTGAGGAAATAGCTTCTACTTTTAGTTGACAAGTAAGGTCCGTTCTCTTGATGCCCGTTTTTTTTTTTTTCTTTCTTTCTGGGTAGGCTTGTAAAGGCTGAGTCAGACTCGCCTTGAATTCTTTCTTAGTTCTGCTGCGTTCGACTGCCAGAGGACAGCGTGATGCACTGAACTCCAGTGCCGCCTTCTCCCTCTCATCTCTCATGAGCGTTCATATATGTATTAAAGCACGATAGGATCCTCCACCCCACTCCCCCTAGTCGTTTCTTCTCTTTTTTTATATTTCGATTCTATTTTAGGAGCTTTAGGATCTTGGACTGTAATTGCAGTCATGTTGCGTTATCGCAAGCTTTGAAATACTCGTCGAAAATGGGAAACGCCTGAGCATGCGCGTTCACGACACAAAATGTGCTACCCTGGCTTCTTCGCTTCAAGTTGTGTTATCAAGAAACTCGTCCAAGATCAAGCATTTCAAAACTTTTTTTTCTACCATCACTGTGGCCTCTAACCTGCACAATGCAAATTTTGAGAGGTGGGAGTGCAAATCAACAACCGGAATACTGCACAAGCTCTTATAACTGGGCATGTGGTTGTGTTTGGCAAAAAGTCATTCAGCGCACACCTGCCTCCACTGAAGGTGCTTCTGATTAACCCCAAAATAAAGTTAGAGTAGCCTCAACTGGCATTTCACATCTTCCAGCACAAGCCATGCTCTGCAGGGAATTTCCACAGCATGAAAAGGATCTCATGGTCCAAACGGTAAATGTCGTATTTTGGGGAAACCTTTTTCAATTACAGCAGGCGATTTACAATTGAATCATATCCAATCAGATGTCAAAACCAATTGATAATTGGATGCCTTCCCACTGGAGTGAGGAGAATCGTTTTTTTCATCGACTTAAGAATGAAATGACTTTCGTGTTATCATGTTCAATTGACAAGGTGCGCTCCTTTTGAGCAGCTTGAGAAAAAAAGTCATAATCTAATGTTACCATGCTGACTTAATTTTTTTTTCTCCGCTTTACATTTTAGTGACTTAAATGACAAAAGAATAACACATGACGTGCATTGCTAGACTTTTTGTTTGTCTGACTTTGTATATCCATCCATCCATTCTTTCCCGCTTATCCGGGGTCAGGTCGCGGGGCCAACAGCGTTAGCGGGGAAGGCCAGACTTCCCTTTCCCCAGCCACTTCTTCCAACTCTTCCCTAAGGTGTTCCCAGGCCAGCCAGGATAGTCTCTCTAGCATGTCCTGGGTCATCCCCGGGGGCCTCCTGCCGGCCGGGTCCAAGAGGCATCTTAATCCGATGCCCGAGCCACCTCATCTGGCTCGACATCTCAAAGCGGCTTGACATCCGAGCCCCTCCCGGATGACCGAGCTTCTCACCTTATCTCCGAGAGCCCGGACACCCTGCGGAGGAAACTCATTTTGGCCGCTTGTATCCAGGATCTTGTTCTTTTGGTCACAACCTATAGCTCAGTGAGGGTACGAACGTAGATCGACTGGTATATCGAGAGCTTCGCCTTTTGGCTCAGCTCCTTCTTCACCACGACAAACCGATACGAAGTCCGCATCACAGCAGACGCTGGACCGATCCGTCAGTCGATCTCCCGCTCCGTCCTGCCCTCCTTCGTTGAACAAGATCCCAAAATACTTCAATTCCTCCACTTGGGGTTAGATCTCATCCCCGACCCGGAGAGGGCACGCCACCCTTTTGCTTGACTTTGTATACGCAGTATGATTGCAGTAATACTGTATAGCTGTTATGAGATATGTGAAGAAGCATTTATGAGAGCAAAAAAAAAAAAGACAACCCATGAAAGACAGGCAGTTAGGGAGCACAATATATTTTTATGGCTTTTATGGCACGGTGAGACGCACGACACATTGATCACCTCTGTGTAAATGACCTCATTGTGTGACTTGTGCGGGCATATAAAGTGCAGGCTTTTGCCGTGGTCTCGATGACTCGTCAGATCACGCTCAGTCGTATTCAATCGAGCTGTTCTGAATAAAAAAAAGAATGTCAACATTTCTCAGCATATTTCACAAGTGCGGTCGGCTCATTGTGTACATTTTGAATACGTCTGCCACTGATGGAGCCATTCAGGAAAATGGTGATTGAAAAAGGGAGAGAGAGCGAGAAGAGGCTGGTGGACATGTTTGAATTGCTAAACATTGCCACATCTACCGCTCGCCTTGGACCGAGCAATCAAAATCAAAAGGAAGCGCGGATCTCTTTGGCCTGCGTAGGTAGCCGGAAATCAGCACTAATCAAGACACTCACTGAGCAACACACCTGTAACAGCCTTGGGACCCAAGTGGGCAAAATAAAGGGCGTCTTAACTGCAACCCCGTGTTGACGTGAATGCGTCAAACATGAATCCAATTCCTTCACCTCTGATCCACAATTTCACTCAAAGGTTCAATGCTTATGGACAACCATAAAACTTTGGTACTAATAAAATGAAGAAAAAAAAACTAAGGTGCCTTCCACCAGTGTGGACCTCCACCTGTCCTTGAGGGACTTATATGGAGTGGGGGGATAGTGACAACATACACAGCACTCAAGTCTCTGCCTGAGAGTCCACAAACCACCTCTGACACATTTCTTTTTGATTGACTTCAAACCGGGGTCACGACATTGGAGGTACTGCGAGATTTTGTTGCATTGACACACGCGCCTATAAATAATATAAAAAGTTCACGCTACGGTTACATCATATCATGAAAGTAGAAGGATGCCCTGGTGATTTCCTCATCTCAAACAATTCGTTGAAGTAAAAGTGAACAATACTGATGGCTACAAAAAATGTCAACGTCTCAAGAAGTTATCATGAGCCACCGAGGATCAATTTCAGCTTGACGACATCTCATGCCGTTTACAAGTTGGCCGATTGTCTGCGGAGGCATGGCAAGGGGTTGAGGCAAAAGGCGAAGCTCTCGATTTACCCGTCGATCTACGTTCCAAACAAACCCTCACCTATGGTCACGAGCTATGGGTCGTGACCGAAAGAATAAGATCCCGGATACAAGCGGACGAAATGAGTTTCCTCCGCAAGGTATCCGGGGGCGCTCTCCCTTCGAGATAAGGCGAAAAGCTCGGTCATCCGGGAGGGGCTCAGATGTCAAGCCGCTTATCCTCCACGTTGAGAGGAGCCAGATGAGGTGGCTCGGGCATCTGATTACGATGCCGCCTGGACGCCTCCCTGGTGAGGTGTCCGGGGCACGTCCCACCGGCAGGAGTTCCCCGGGGGACGACCCAGGACACGCTGGAGAGACTATGTTTCCTGGCTGGTCTGGGAATGCCGCGGGATCCCCCCGGAAGAACTGGAGGAACTGGCTGGGGAGAGGAAAGTCTGGGCTTCCCTTCTAAAGCTGACCCGACCCCGGATACGTGCTGGAAAACAAATGGATGGACGGCAATATTTCGATGAAACTTCCATTTTGAACTGACATGATGACAAATCTGCGTATCGACATATCGGGTGCAAAATATCGTTATATAATACACAGTAACTGAGTGAGGAGCTTCCGGGAAAGGTGACCACACATGAATCAAGGCTGATCTACTTTTTTTTAACATTCTCACACGTCAAGTTATCAATTTAATCACTCAACTTGTCCCCAGTTATCAATGACCTGTATAGTCATGAAAAGTCCACAGCGATTGTCCATGAGCTGGAAGGAGCAGCGGCGTCAGTTAGCATCCAGTCCATGTAAACAGAGAAGGCTAAAAAGAGTCAAGAGACCAGACTTTGGCAGCAACTCCGCTAATTTGCGGCTGCAACTGCGACAAGTGTCACCTGCGACTGATGCAGCATCAGGACTCACTCGGCGGTGGGGGCTGAGGATGGTTCCACATTATTCCGGCCGCCAAGTGTTGTCCGAGGAAGTGAGTCACGGACGAAAGCGCGGGCACTCACGTTCTTGGATCGAAAGACACACTCACCTGTCTGGGGATCAACAGAGAAGTACTGCTGGCCCTGCACCAGTGTGTACACCAGTCGGGCGCTGTTCCCATAAGTCGGGTCATCAGCATCCGTCGCTGTCACCTGGATTATGGAAGTGCCTGCGGGGAGCGGAGAGGAGGAGGAGGAGGAGCGGATGGAAGCAGGAGATGATGAAGAGGAGAAAAACAGAGGGATTGGAGGTTGACAAGTAGGAGCAGGACGAGTCAAAATAAACGATATCTGGAACGAAATGGAAAATAAACAACGCCACTTTAGGCCGCTTTATGCCCACACATCCTTTTATACACCCTCTCCCACACATGCACACATGCATTTGGGATTTTTTTTTTCCCACACAAACGTGTGACAAATACTTTATTCACCTAATCTAGACACCCACACAAACACACCCTCTCACTCGGCAACCGTGAACGTCAAAAAAAACCCCCATCCTCCCGTCCCCCCTGCCCCACTCTCCGACTGCCACTGTCTCACTTCATTTCTCTTCATCTCCGTCTCCAATTTCTTTTTGCTCCCTCGTTCAGTCGGACCGTCTGCCGCTTTCACGGTCCCCCTCTTACCCCCCCTAAATCTTCTTTCTACGGCTCACGGAGTGTCAATTTGGCAGCAGCATTTTTGAATTAGTTAGCAGAAAAAAATGGAAATAAACAAAATGCAGGAAGCATTTCAGACGTTTTGCATTCCTACAGAGCAGCACACAAATTCGGTATTTATACTGCAGATGAGTGTTTCTCTTTCGTTTTTTTTTTCTGAGAGTCTCAAGCCAAACAATGTGGGAGGAAGAAAAATACTTGATGTCTAATTGAAGGCATAGTGGGATGGGCATAAAAATATATTGATGATAATAATAGGAATAATGCGTTGAATGATTTGATGTCATGTTTGTGAATGCACTACGATGTCATCCAGCACACATCTCAACGGAGCGCAGAATCTGCCTGCCCGCGCCCGGATCAAATCCGCCTAAATGGCGCTCGCCCACCGATGCCACAACTTCGACCTGGTTTCTCTCGGTCGAGAGTCTGGTCTACTTTCTGTCTACCAACTGTTAGGTGCACCGAGGGCATGTCATAAAAAATGCCCCCGGTCCGCCGTAACGCCCAGTGAGACGTAACATGGTCTGCCAAATTCTTGAAACCGGTAAATTACTCTCGCCCCAGAACAAAAATGAAGATGAGGCAGTTTTTACATGTTGCACACGTGCACCTGTCCTGGGCCCTTCGACTGTACTTTGTACGAGACGCCCCCAGCCCGCCGTAACGCCCAGCGAGACGTAACATGGTCTGCCAAATTCTTGAAACTGATAAACTACTTTCGCCCCAGAACAAAAATGTAGATGCGGCAGTTTTTACGTGTTGCACACGTGCACCTGTCCTGGGCCCTTCGACTGTACTTTGTACGAGACTAGGCACAAAAAAACGGGGCCCCAGGACTTGATTCAAAAGGTGCACCTAGATGTGCACCTCGATGCTCCACTCCTCCCTACAACACATGGAAAATTGACATCGAAAGGAAAATAAAAACATTACCGAGGGAGAAACATGAATGATGGCACAGCAAGATTTGGGGTCCTCCCTCGCATCAGTTTTCATGCCTCTCTGCTTTACTTGAAACATTGAACAATTTTTTTCCCCCTGTCTAAAGCAAATGTGATGTTTTTATTTGGACAAAAATATCCAGGCAGTTTCCAAAGTCTAAAGTTGATATTGAAGACAAAAAAAAAGTCTTATTTTATACTATTAAGTTTGGTGCACGTCTTCATGATTTAAAACAATACAAACAATTTTTCATTTGCAATGCAAGATTGCTCCCTCGGAGTAAAACGTCATTTCAAAGGGGCCGTTTGAAGTTTAAATGCAGGTTAGAACACACTTTGCACAAAAAGCCTCTCTGCAGCCGTGCTTTGAATTACAATTTGAAAATACATCCTGTCACTCCAAATGTCTCTTTCGTATAAGTGCGCAAAACAAAAAAATTCTTCCCTGGCCCGGTCTCTTCATTTGCATTCCAAGCACGTGTGTCATATTTTACATGATCCTTTAACGGTCGCGGAAATATTAACAGGTCACTTTGGCTCTGACATGCATGCTGCTGTCAGTACATTCTAAGTGAAAACAAATTCCTTTTTTTTTCTCTTTTTTTTTTTTGCCCCTGCGCAGCAAAGTTAATTAACTTTACATCAATCAATTTTCAATTGCGTTTGTCCTCATTTGGGTCTCCAGATTAGGCAGAACCTGAACGTGAATAAGTGTCAACTTTAATTGGCAGATTATGCGCACTGCAAATCTTCAATAGAAATTGGACGGTTTGGGACAGGCTCAAGTGATCGCAGGAACTTGTAAAGCCAGATTAAATTAAGGTTAGAAAATGGACTCGCACGATTGGTCTATAAGTGTGAAAAATGAAATGCCAGAGTTTAAATATGCACCTAGTACATCTTGTACTTCATGCTTTCTATTTTTATTTTTGGAAAATACAGAGTCTCGTGTGTCCGGGCGCACCACCGGCCCGCCTCGCCCGCCATGCCAGAGCTCGCGCGATACGACCAGAAAGACGGCGAAAAATGGTGGCCAGGGTGGAGGCCCGCAGCGGTCCTGACGCGCAAATCAGTCGCAAACGTTGACCACTTCACAAGTAACTGATGTTGGTCCATCTAAAGATGTACGTCTCGTCATCATCATCGTTGCCTTTCTCCAACGGAAATGCAAATAACCGCATACTGGCACATTGTTCTTGGTGCTGGCCCTTTTTGACATGGACTTTCCATTTGGAAAATAAATCAAGGCACAAATAAATAAACAAAGGAGTAGCCTACCTATATTTGCCATCTCGGGCACTGTGGCGCTGTAAGGGCCTTCGTCAAAGACAGGCGGGTTGTCGTTGATGTCCTGCACCCGAATTATGAATTGCGAAGACGGCTCAAGGGCACGGTCCGTCTGCCTGTCGGTGGCCGTGGCAATCAGACGGTACTCATCCTTCTCCTCGCGGTCCAGCGGCTTGGTGACGTGGATGTTACCCGTCTTCTCATCGATCACAAAGACAGAGCCGGCCCCCTCGCCGCGGAGGACGTATTTCGTGCGGCCGTCATTCCTGTCCATGTCGGTGTGGAGCTAGGTGGGAAGAAGGTAGACAAGGAGTCAAGAATAAACATTCTGCTTGTCACTTTTCTCTGCTCCTCATCCTGTTCTGTCCTGTCCCACGTAAATTTCAGAAAAGTTTGCTGCGTGACTGACTGTACTGTCAGTGGTCGCATCTTAAAAATCACTCGACAAAACAATCTCGTTATATCCCCTTCAGTCCTGCATAATATGATGAATTTAAAAATAGGAATGTCATAAAATAACGGGCAACACGATGGTCGACTGGTTAGCACTTCTCCCCGTGCCTACGTGGGTTTTCTCCGGGTACTCCGGTTTCCTCCCACATTCCAAAAACACTCATAGTGAGTTGATTGAACGCTCCAAATTTTCCTTGGTTGAGATTGTGTGTCTATGTTGTGATCGTAGTTTGTCTCTGTGTTCCCTGCGATGGGCTGGAAACCTGTTCAGGGTGTCCCCCCGCCTGCTGCCCGAAGACAGCTGGGATAGGCTCCGGCACGCCCGTGACCCTCGCGAGGAGATGCGGATTGGAAAATGGATGGATGGATCGTAAAATAATGCACAAAACTTCAGCTCCTCACGAGCACAACTTCCTTTGAATTTGCATGACCGTGCCCGTCTTCATGCAATGCAGTAGTTAGGAAAGACATTCTGTTTCATGTCGGTGTTTCTGACAACACATGCCGCCCCCTCTTAAAGCCTCTTTTCACATTCGGGCGGCTACTCAGCGCAGGGAGTGCCCTGGCACTTTAATGAAAACTCCAAATCAAAGGAATCATGAACAGTCGGCCAATCAATTATTCCCTAACTAATAGGAATGTATGAGGATGAATCCGGAGTGCACGGCAGAGGGACAAGCTATATCGATCTCAGCCTTCTGTTGAGTTTTATTAGATTAACTCCTGGTGGGATGCTGGCGTAGCGGAGCAGCCGCGGCTTTGGCTGAAGGCAATATCAGGGAACGCGCTCTCATCACCAGCATCACACACAGAGCACAAGATTCAATCACAATATTGAGCACATTAGTGGTTTGAGTGGCACCTGTGACCCCCCCCCCCTACCCCCCACCCTAAAAAAGAATGCGCAATTCACCAAGACAGCTAATGTGAAAATGTCTAGAAACCCAGGAAAGCAATGTTGCCTGGCAACAGCAAAGTACTTTTCGGAAAGTTTCGAATGGCTGTTGTCAATCAATATTCACCGTACTTTGAAAATGGCTTAACCCGAACCCTTTTTCGGTGAGCAAGCTGAATGAATGCAGCAACATATTGGGGGTCAGGAGTCAAGAGTTTTTGAAATGCCTTTTATTCAGGTGAAAATAAAGTATAACCAATTACAACATTAGACAACGATAGTGTTCAGCTCGAGTTGCGGCAAAAGTATCTTACACCTTTTTGTTCCCTACAAAACGGATGTTGATATTTTGCTTCTCAAAAAATGAGGACAACCAGAGAAAGTATGATACGATATTCAACAGTGATGTATTAAATTGTCTCGCATCCATCCCCCCTCCGTCCAAAACAGCCATGACTGCATTCCAGGCAGCGACTCTGTCAGGTGCTTCAGACATTTGTGCGCATTCTCTCACTGCTGACTCTGTGCTGACTAATAATCTATTTATGTTGATTGGAGCCTACACTCCACCTACATCCACTGAATATTTATGGCAGAGATTCTGTTGTAGACAGATTGCACCGAAACATGTCATGCCCAAGAATGATCAGAATTCACGTCAGCACTCACATAAGGCGCGTCGGCCATTTATAGAAGTACAGAAAAAGAATCGGCGGCAAAACTCCCAAATTCACTCCAGCGCAGAGCGCAGAATATCTTCCACGATACCAAAACTTCTAAACGCAACGGTCCGTTGATGTGCTTCAATTCAAGAGTGGCCAAACACATTGGCCGGGTAAAGTGCATATCTTGTGCTCAGTTAGACTCAAAATAGATGATGTGATGCATTGTGTGCACCCGCCTATTTGTTTTGGACTCAATCTCTCATGAACATCAATTAGCAGCTTTGCCCAATCACTTTCTGGGCCTAGCATGGCGATTTCACGTCAACGCGAGCCAATGGCCCGTGACAGCACCTTGTCAGTAAAAGCTATCGTCCAATCTCTCTTTCCCTTGCCTTTTTTCCCCCATCAGCGGACGCCTGCAGAAGTTCTGGTGCAGAATCAATCCCTCACGCCATCTTTTTTCTTCTCAATGGCAGCATTGCAGCAACAGTTGCTTGCACAAACGATATGCTCCATGATGAATCGAACAACGGAACTTCATTTGCACAAGGAAATATCAAAAAGGAGAAAATTAGTGAAATGATTTGAAAGTTGATCGAGATCAAGTCAACAGAACTGCCATTGTGCGTGTTCAACACAGTGCATGTGAATTGGTTGATTCGCGGCCTTTTAAATATTGCTCACCTTCAATTCTATCAATCCCCACTTTTTTCTTTTCGCATTTGGTGAACCCAAACAGTGACCGAGTGACTACTCAAGTATCATTTGACAATTTGCTGTGACTATGTGATAAGACCTAAAGTTCCCTTTCAAACATTTCTTTCCAAAATATTTTCACTGGCACCAATTTGAGTTTTCTTTCCCTCATGTTCCATCTTATGATGTGACCCAAAACACGAATGCAACGGACCGGCCAGAACATCCTGGGAAGCCTGGTTTCGCTCTCCTCTGAATGAAGAGCCATTAACAATCAAAGCCTTAACAGCCCTGCTGCTTAACGACGGGACTTAATGAGCTTCTTAATGAAGCCCAGCATCATTACCAGAGTGAGTGGTGGCAGCCGTGATCGAAAGGTTTCCTCAAACTCATTCTGCGGCAGGAGAAGTGTCTGCTTCAAATCTATTTAACACTGACCTCGCAACATTATCTATGCCCCAAAGATTGATACAAAGCCATAAAAACGAGAACTATTTCCTGGGCTTGCATGTTGGTGCGTACCCTGGCCGGCTGGCTCTCACGTTCCAGAAGCGGGAGTTCATGTACAAGGGCATAACCCGGCAAGCTTTTCCCCCCCAAAATGATGCAAGTATTTTTTTCCCCCAAAATATGCAACCAGTCGAACCTCGTTACAATGTACCTGGGGGGACATAAGGAATCTGTCCCTGATAACGGTAGTTCGTCATAACCATTTCCAGTAAAATGGCTGCCAACAACAATGTAGCATAGAATATGTGACTATTGTGTATTTTTGGGCAGATCTTCGGAGCACCCCGGATTACACTGACAATGAACCAGATTCTTAGTCGCCACAATTACCACTGGTTGTTTTTTTTTTTTGTTTGTTTGTTTTTTAAGATTTGGAATCCAGAATCGTTTGGAACCGTAATCGAATTTAAAAAACTGGAATCGGAACCGGAATCATCTGAATTCAAACGATGCCCATCCCTAGTTCTGTGGGGGAATTATGTCAGAACCACCACAGTTGAAAATCTAAATGTGTGATATATTGTCATAAAAATACACCTTTTTACAAGCTCTTGGCACTGGTAAATGTCTATATACCAAATGACCAATTTTTGTTATGTTGATGCACTTGTGTATAATACTCCCCCTCAATCTCGATGACTTTTTGAGACAAAAGTGTTTTGTTATTTTCGTGAAATGACGGCAATGCCCCATATGCACAATATGTTAAGATGCATAATAAATCATAAAACGCATGGAAACTGTTTTCCGCAGCTCAATTTTCCTCATGAATGTATGTGTTGTTGCTGAATAAAGTCAACTTGATTCAGACACGAGATGCCAGTTGGTGCAGCACGGTTGCGAAGGGCATTAGCAGAGCTTGAAGTGTGCACAGCTGATAATATCCCACGATTTTTTTTTTTTCTGTAAGCCTGTACAGCATAAGATACTAATCATTCTGCTTGTGGTGAATTGAAAAGAACTGCCGGCCAGTGGGACAACTACAAGCACCACGGGCTGCCGCCACATGGCTACGAGAAGTATCACAGACGTCTGGGAGTAAGCCAGCTCTTTAATATTAGCCTTGAAGTGTGACGCAGGGCAATCGGGAGAGCCTATTGATTTACAGCACGTCCGCCGATTCGGAGAGGTGTCTCAAGAAAGAGCAGCAACACAGCAGCAACATGAACCTGAGAGAGGGCCCGTAGGAGTCGACAGAGCCTGACAATTAAATGGCGCCTCGTGGCCAGATAACTAAATGACATTGATTGCTTTAAAGCAATTAAAGGGACTCAATGTGGAGAGAAATATTGACACATATCCCGAAATCAACTAATTAATCAACGAGGGTTTGGACTTTTGGACGATACTATTCTTCGAGCGGTTTTCTCCAGCTTGACACTGTCTCACTCCAAGGCATGCTTGGATGACACTGCTGTGGAAGAATTTGGGATCCCTGACCTCGATTGCATCAAACATCTTTTAGATGCGCGTTAACCGGGCCCGCACTTCCATTATCAGTGACCTCCAGCCTTGGAAATTGCCTTGTGATCGCATGGACTGAACATTTCCACACACAAACTGCAGTAACGCGTGTAAACTGGACAAATAAATTCATCAAATGGGAGTGCAGCGATTGGGAAAAATAAATCTTTATATTCCTTCACGCTTTGATTCATGACGTACCAATATGACATCCCTGAGTAATCAATAATAGTTGGACAATAATAGGCCACCTAATGGGTTATATTTTACAGCAGGAAGCCATACATATGAAAGAAAGAGTCTATTTCACTCACCAACAAATATCAGCTAGCTTATTTAGCTAAGGTTAGCTTAGTTAGCTCGTATAGTTAACCACAAACTACTAAATTGAGATAAGTGTACACATAGAGTAAACCGGCATGATTTTTCTTGTCATTTGAATAAAACATGCCACTGCCACACCTGCACAATCTGCCATTCAAAACAAGAGTTGTATCGCACTGTCTGTTAAACTATGATGTCAGATTGATTCATTGTCAGGAAGGTCATCATCATACAGTACTATGGAATGATTCTAATTTGAACTGAATTTACCATGAGACA